AGATTGGTTAACTCAAAAAAAGAATGTAATTTTCTTTTTCTCCATTTGTAAAGTATCATCTTGACGATGGTAATAGAATGAGTTAATTATTTTTTTTTCTTCTTCGAAAAAGAGAGTGTGTGCATAGAGATTTTCTTGTATATGTTAGTTGCTTGTAGTCATCAAGTAAGCATACATTACAGAACTGAAAATAGTTTTTTATTAAGATGACTGATTTTGGCACAATGTGGCGTGCAAATCGATTATTCATGTCGTTTTCGTTCAAGATAAATTTAAACTTGTGGATCCTGATCATGACCGTGTTCATCAACGCCGTCAATAGTACAGGTAGGACTTAGTGAGACTAAGAAAATAGAGAAAGGGCTCGTGCCCATAGCGTGTTCCTGATGAAATATCAAGTTTTTAGTGAAGTTTCGCTATGGCACCCCGATTTTGCGTTGAAACTTTGCCCATATAAAGGCATCCGCTAGACTAGGTTCGATAAAAAATTTCAGACGTTTTGAGCAAAGTCTTTCCGAAATATAGATCTATCGAAACATACGCCCTTTTTCATAGATAATATATATGACATGCACTTTTTTGAAACCTTGGTATCTCGGAGAGATTTTGTTCAAAACTCCTAAATTTTTTATGCAAAGTAGCCAGCTGAGGCCTTTATGTGCGCAAAGTTTCAAGACAAAATTCTTGTTTAATTGTTGATAATTATAACGAGTAAGCCGTTTCTATTTTTCTTTCTATTTCTTAATATGTACACTACATTTACTTTTACGTCTCTTTCTTCACATGAAATTCATCTACATTGTAATCTTCATTTTTAATATCTGCCCGCATCAAGAAGAGGATATTGTTTCTCATGTCGTATCGATGGTGTAGAATCAAACACTAGTAGATGAGACATCTACTACCAGTATCCTACACAGAAAAATAAGGCATTCTTCGTTTGTTAAAGTGTAGCTTGCATCCGTTTATTATTTGTAGCTATCTCATACAATCAGCCCAAACTTTGTGCGTCTGCAGTATGGGATAACAATGGACTTATTATTGCAAACAGGAGCACAGTCGGCAGATACCCTTCTGGCATTTTCGTCGACATCAACAATAACGTCTACTTAGCAGAATATTCGTATAACCGCGTGCAAATGTGGCCTGCAGGAAGTGCCATTCCGACGAGAAATATTACCGGTAGTTTGAACGGTCCATTCAGTGTCTTCGTCACTGCCAATGGTGATGTTTATGTCGACAATGGCTACAAGGGTCGAGTCCGCAAATGGACATTAAATGCTACGACCAGTGTTACTGTAATGTATGTCAGTGACGTATGTTACGGACTCTTTGTCGACATGAACAATACTATTTATTGTTCTCAAGCGCATACTAATGTAGTTGTGGCTAGTTCACTCGATGGTAATGCAAACTCATCGAAGATCGTTGCAGGCAATGGTTCTTCTGGATCAACATCAAATATGCTTTACTTTCCCATGGGAATATTTGTCGATATCAACTTTAATTTGTACGTCGCTGACTCTGATAATAATCGGATTCAGTTTTTTAAATATGGACAAATGGATGGGACGACAGTGGTAGGAGAAGAAGCATCAGTAAGTTTCGCACTCAGGAATCCAACAAGCATCGTTCTGGATGCCAACAGCGATCTGTTCATTGTGGATTCATATAATACTCGAATTGTAAGATCAAGCTCTACAGGATTTCGATGTGTAATTGGATGTACGAATGCAGGCGGTTCGAACTCCGATCAATTACCATACCCATGGGCTCTTGCTTTTGATAGCTATGGCAACATATTTGTTAGTGACTATAGTAAAAATCAACTACTAAAGTTTATTTTCACAACAAATTCTTGTGGTAAGTCTGATGAATTCTTATTAGGGCATAAATAAATGATTAGTAATCTATGAGTGGCGAACAACGCAAGTCAAAATAGTAATTGATTTTTGCGTTGAAGGAAGTCATGCGTTGTAGTCAAAAACTTAGCTGTAGAAAGAATAAGAAATGCCAATAATAAGTTTAAAAAAGAAGAAATCAGTCTGCAATACTTTTATGTATGACGGATAACAGATGTATCTCATTAAATAGAACCATCGTTTAACCAACCTGAACTTTGTCCGACTGCGTCATGGAACTTGAACGCCATCACTTTTGCAGATAACAGCACAGTGGGTCTATTTCCTCGCAGTATTTTCATCGATATTAACAATACCGTCTACGTGGTTGATCGAACTCATGGATTCGTTCAAGTGTGGCTTGATGGAAATATCATTCCGACAAGAAACATTTCCGGTAATTTTACCTCTCTCAATAATCTTTTTGTCACTATTAATGGTGATATTTATGTTGACAATAATTATCCCAACGGTCGAATAGATAAATGGTCATATAATGATACAACCAGTGTAACTGTAATGTATGTCAGTGCACGATGTGACGGACTCTTTGTCGACATGAACAATACTATTTATTGTTCTCAATCGGAGACTCATATAATTGTTGCCAGCTCACCCGATGGTAATGCAAACTCATCGACGATCGTTGCAGGCACTGGTTCTTCTGGATCAACATCAGATATGCTTGACTCACCTACCGGAATATTTGTCGATATCAACTTTAATTTGTATGTAGCCGATTCTGAAAACGATCGGATTCAGTTTTTTAAATATGGACAAATGGATGGCATGACAGTGGCAGGAGTAGAAGCACCAGTCAGCTTCGCACTCAGCAATCCAACAAGTATTGTCCTCGATGCTGACAACTATCTATTCATTGTAGATAGTAATAATAACCGAATCGTAAGATCAGATCCTACAGGATTTCGATGTTTAGTTGGATGTACGGATGCAGGTGGTTCGGACTCCGATCAATTACGCTATCCCTGGGCTCTTGCTTTTGACAGTTATGGCAATATCTTTGTTACGGATGAATACAACAACCGAATTCAGAAATTCATTTTTCAAACGAACTCTTGTGGTAAGTCTACTCTTCGATTTTTCTCAGTCATAGCTGTGCTCTCAAGTTTGATGAATTAAAAATATCAAGAGTGCCAATTTGCAGTTTCAGTAGATATGTTGATGCAAAAATACTCTAAAATAACAGTTTCATATGCGTTTGTTAGTATAAAAATCTATATGAGAGCTTACTGGGAAGAGATTCATTCAAGGTTAAGAACAACATTGCAAATGACAGTTCTACAATAAATTTATAATTTAAGAAATATATAACAATTCGACATTGAAAACTATGAACAAAACGAAGTCTAATTGATAAGAATTTGGTTGTAAGAAATTTATTCGAGTTTTATGTTCGGAATATATTTCAGTTCCAATTACAACAACAGTACAATTAGTCACAACTGGAACGACGTTAAAGTCAACAACAACTACAAATTCAATCGCCATCTCCCTGATCTCTTCAACAGGTAGATACATACATATATACATATTACTATATTTCTCGATGATTTATTCTAATAAGAGCTATTAGTATGGAAAATATAGTATAGAAGCAAGTTAAAATGTAATTATCTGGTATTTTATAGTGCATGAGTCTTGGCATATTCCTTCGGGTATAATTTAAACATCTTGCTCTTACTTGTAGCATTCCTTGCAACGACGTAATTTCTGCTGTGTTTGAATTAAGAAAAGGAATTGTTAAATGGATAATTTGTTTTGTTTTTCTATTTCCTAGGTGTACACAAATTCATAATCCAATTCATCATCGTCTTATCGATTACGAAGATGAACATCTTTCACACTGTATAACCAAATATGAACTATTTCTTCAAACCGTTGACTCGATTATAAATATTCTATTGATATTAAACGTATCTCATTACAAATTATATAAGATGATACAATAACAAAAGTTGTACTTTATAATATTTGTTTTTATATTATTCACTCACGTATCTCGTTTTTTTTCTATCTAAGATCAATTCCTTGAACTTCATAATATATTTAACATAATTTTCTTATCAATGTATAATATTATGCATTGCTTGTAAAATATAAATTCATGTGACACATAATATTGCAAATAAGATTATTTGTGAAAATATATTCATACTACAAACAAAATTCATTGAAAGATATGTGTGTGGGTGAGTGTGAGTAGGTGGGTGGGTGTGTGCGTGTGGGTGTGGTAGGTGTGGGTATATGTCTTGTCTTTTTAACTATATCCGTCCCCACCCACACCCACACCCTAATATATAAACATAAAAATGGGTGCGGTTTCAGTATGGTTTTGGGTGTAGATGTATGTATTCTTCTTTGTGATTTTCTTATTAGTGATTACCCACCCCTCAACAAGTTGATTATATATCAAATCATTAGTTGAAAATGATCTTTGAAATAGATAATATGCAACAACTAGTGGTACAATATTTTCAGATACCATGAAGTAATGATTAAAAATATAAGATATAACATTTTCAAATATTTTAATTTCATATTCACTGTCACTTATTTTTAAATTTTGTTTTTCATCACAATATTTGAAAAAATTTCAAATAAAAAACAAAGTGGTTTTTAATCCTTGCATTACAGGGTTTTTGTTTTGAATAAAAAGATTTTTTTGTGTCATGAATAATGCTGAAAAAATCTTTATTAAATTCAAGCATTTTCAGAAATGTATTATAATATTCGATGTTTAACAAAAATACAAAAAAAAAAAAAACAGAATCATTGTAGTATTAACAATGCTTGGTTTATCCCAGGTCGAACAATCCGGCACAGAAACGGCCCAGTTCCGTGGTATTCCCTTTGAACAGATCCCGTGACCGGATTTATCTGGTTTGAGCCGGAACCGACAGCCGGATACGGTTCCCTCACTTCTCCATCAGATTCCTGGCATTTTCCGGATGGATTCCGCCCAGAAGTGGCGAGTTTCCTCAGGAATTTCGCCGAGAATTCATGGAATCCTACTTCAGGAACCATCGTCCTGGGATTATTGAGCTAATCAATTTCGGATCCATTTACGCATCACGAACGCTTTCGGTTTGTTTTTGTAATGCAAGCTGCAAATAAAAAATTTAATTTGAAATTCTCATTCATCAACCAATATTTACAGATGTAATAAGTTGATGTTGTAAAAAAAACGAGTAAAATTGTCTAGTACTTGATCTGGAACATATCCACTTAAAGACGATATGTATTTAACTATACTAGTTGAATAATAATACATTCCGCCAACTAAAATACCAGCTGCAAGTGTTAAACCAAATAATTTTGTTGCAGTTGTAAGATAAGTATATTTAAATACTCCAATTCAATTTTTTGTATCTTAGCAGAAAAGTACAATATACGTTGAACTGTAAAATATATCTTTATTATGAATTGTCTCGTAATTAAATTTAATACCATTGGAAGGTGAGCATATTTGTTGCAGTTCGACGCCAAACCTTTCTAAAATTATCTCTACCATCAAGTTGTCTTAAATCGCCCATTTGATCGATTTGGAAGCAATTAATTATCTACCCATGTTAACCATTCCGGGTGTCAGAAATGGCGTCTTAAACGACTATAAAACCGCGTTTTAGTGGTTTGTTTTTAGTCGTATCTCACCGTAACCCGTCAACTCAGAGTACGGGCCGTTTCTTGGTATATTCGTTCATGAACCAATGTTTCAAATCATAAAAATTAGCTGTAGTGAAAAACATGCCAGCACATCTTGTAAATGTTTGATCAATAATTGCATTGTAATTTCTTGAATATATTCAGTTAAAGAAGATGTGCGTTCACCTATACTACCAAAATAATAACATATTGCACCAATCAAAGCACCAGCCCCGATTGTTACGCCAACGAGTTTTCTAGTAGTTTTAAGATAATAATATTCATGTATACCAATTAAATTTTGTTCTCCTTGATGAAATAATACAACATAAGTTAAATTGTAAAGTATTCCATTAACATGAATGGTCTCGTAATTAAAGTTAATATTATTGGATAATGAGAGTATTTGTTGTTGAATGGTTAATGGTAATTCAAATATTTTACCAAGATCTTCTTTTGTTGCATAGGTACGAATTTTGATATCTGTGGCAGTTCGACGCCAAACTTCTTTAAAATCATCTCTACCATCAAGTTGTCTTAAATCGCCCATTTGATCGATTTGGAAGCAATTAATTATCTATCCATGTTAACCATTCCGGCTGTCGGAAACAGAGATGTCCATGGCGGCGCTGCCGCTGCCGCGCCGCTGCCGTCGTGGCGTTCGCGGCGCGGCAGCGGCAGCTTTTTTTCCAAAACTGCGGCGGCGCGGTAGCGGCGCGGCAGCAACTTTTATCATACTGTCGCGGCAGCGGCGCGGTAGCGGCAACTCGTCCAGAAAACAATTTTAAAAATCACGAAATTTACACATAATCTCGGCGTTGACGTATTCCGGAATGTAAAACTAGACGAATCTCATCGATTAGCAGCAACAGCACTCATTTAAACCACTCTCAGCCTTGAGAATCGGAAGATTTTTAAAAGTCCCATCGCGGCAGCAGCGCGGCACACTTCTTTTTATTATAGTCGCGGCGCGGCAGCGGCGCGTTAGCTTTTTTACAATATCGCCGCGGCGCGGCAGCGGCAGATTCTCAACCGCGATGGACATCTCTGGTCGGAAACGGCATCTTAAACGGTCTGAAACGACTAAAAACAGCGTTTTATTGCCTTATTTTTGGTGGTATCTCACCGTAATCCGTCAACCCAGAATACGCGCCGTATTTTACCGGCTTTCTACCGTTTACGATACCGTCTCTGGCGCTGTTGTCTTTGCCATGGGGTGTTAAATTTATACCAATGTTTTCTTCTTTTCTTTTGATCTTGATTAAAACGAATATCATTCTGTATATCAATATTCATCTAAAATACAGAAAACGTATTTACATTACGAAAATAAAAAACAAAATTTACTAAATAAGTAACTAATATATTTATATGCATATATATAGCATGTCAGTTCTTTGTTCAATGAATAGTCAATAATGAAAATAGCCTAAAAATTATTTTGTTTAGTTTTCATAATTAATATTTGTGCAAAATACAATCTCACATTTAATATAATATATTTTCATTTCCTATTCATGTTACAGATGCCGTTCTAATAAATGTCTTATTGTGGTAGTTATCGCAATTGTACAATAACTGTACTTCTTTCAATGATTTATGCAAACATGCAATAAAATAGGGGCTTAAAAACATTTTTTTTTTATAAAAATCAATGGATTCTAATATATCGATAAAAAACGACCATCGTTTTTCGTCACTTTCTACCATATAAGGTCGCTTACGATATCGTATTCTGTCACCTAAAATAAGGTGCTTCAATCTCGCTACGAGTCTCATTAGATGGCTTATTACCTAGAGTGCAGGTATAAGTAGAATACACACACTCTAATTTTTTATCTGTCTTCCTACCACATCAACTGATAGCTATTTTGGTTTGAAATGGGCAATTGTTATATCACAAATTCTATAAGTATGAAAGATTGAGTCATCAATAAATCAACGTTTGCTTTCAGCTATCTTTTATATGGCGCAGCCAATTATTATCCAAAAGCATATTTTATATATCTAGGTAATTGTTAGTTGATTTGGCTGCTGCACCATTATGGACAGCAAAATGTAGTTATTTAACTGATACAGGTATAATATATTTATAAAGATGTTATTGTTAATCGATTTTTTGGTATCTTTTTTCAATCAAGTTTGTTTCATAGAATTCTTTCCGTTTACTATGAGAATAAACTGATTTTTTTTATATTATTTTCATATTTAGATTAATATTCTTTGTATTATTTATGTTTGTATATGTATTTGTTCAATATTAATTGTAATTATGTTTTCTTGATTCAACAGAGAAGCACATGAAAAATTTAAATCAATTATTTCTTGTACATGAAATGTAAAATATGAAAATCATTAAGTTATGTTATATTTTATATAATAACACCATATATTCGTATACGAATATCGTTGAAAAATGAAAACAAAAAAAATCATCTACGATCGTTTTTACCAATCAATTCATTGAGATGTTTTATATTTTGTTGTCTATTTATTATAGAATAAAAAAATAAAATAAAAAGTATTATGTAAATTAATTCAATATACCTCATTATAGTAGCTAATTGTCGATTGAGTTTATTGACTAATGGAGGACCAGAATAAGCCAGACTAGTATAAACTAAAATTAAAGAAAATAGAATATTTCGCAACTATGATCGTATGAAAATTTACTTTGTACGAGACTTGCACCAGCTTTCATTCGTTCAATAATATCTTCTGCTGTTTCAATTCCTCCAACACCAATCAATGGAATTTGACCTAGAAATATAAATTTTATGATTAAAAGAATAAATAAATAAATCATTAAACCTTGAGTATAATATCGAAATAAACGAAGAGTTTCAAGTGCTTTTTCTTTCAATGGTCGACCACTTAATCCTCCAGTTTCATTACGATGTTCATTTTTCAATGTATCCATTCTTGCTATTGTTGTATTAGATACAATTAAACCATCAATTTGTGTATTTGGTTGACGAATAACAGATGATATTGATTTAATATCATTTTCATTTAAATCTGGTGCAACTTTAAGTAAAACTAATGGTTTATTTCTTGTTTGATTTTGACATGAAATTTTATCACAAGCTTTACGTACGGATGTTAGAAGACTTTTTAATTCATTTTCACTTTGTAAATTACGTAAACCTGGTGTATTTGGACTTGAAACATTAATAACAAGATAATCAGCTAAACATCCGAATTGTTCTATACCTAATGTATAATCTTGTTCAACATCTGTTGTTGTATTTTTATTTCTTCCAATATTAACACCAATTAATATATCTATAGTAGATAAGAAGATAAAACAAAACAGTATGATCGAGTATAAAATGAGAAAAAGGTGATTAATCCATAGTAAATTAGACTTTCTAGTTTGTTAAAAAAAGAAATTTTGTCAATATTTCATTCTTTATCTTTCAAGGCCTTATTACTTTTTATGCTTACACTCGATTAATTCGTTCGTGTTAGTATGTTCGTCATCAGACAACAAGCAAGCAATAGAATGTCCGACTTAATCTTCGTTCAAATTTTCTATACGATATATGTGCATAAGTATTAACTGAGTCGCATCATTCATTCGTCCGCATGTATATCACTTCGATTTTTTTCTCCTTCTGCGTGTTTAAATTACTACATATCTGATCCGTGGTTCAGCATTCTAGTCACATCCACACTTGATCAGATTTTTTCTTTTTTTTTCTTTCATTCTTCTTGTCTTCTTCTTTTTTTTTTCTATTCAACAAACATACAGTCAATGGTCAATTTCTTTCTTGCTCTCTCTCTCTCTCTCTTGTTCTTCTTCTTTTTTTTTCTTCTTCTTTAAAATTCTAATCAACATATGACCGTCTGCCTAATCTGCATCCTGTACTCTTACACATAGACAAGGTTCACACACGTATGTATACATCAGAGTTTATTGACAAATACGTCTAGCAATGTCATCATTGTCACATTTAGTTGTACCAAATCGAATTTCATCTTTTTCTAACAACAATATGTCATCTTCAAGTGCCTATTCATTACAATTACCTTATTTGGGTTCAATACCATTAGGAAAATCTCCACCAAATTTAACATCATTTCAAAAACCTTTACGAGAATTATATATACCCTATTATCGTCAACGACGTGAACGTTATCATGATGAACGTCGTATTATTATATCTGATCGTGATATATTAATATTTGAACCTGATGCAGCATCAAAAGGAAAACGTTCATTAATTTATTCAACATTAGAAGCAATTGTTGATATACAAGCATTAGAATTATATGTAATGTTTAATCATATTGAAAATCATCAACATAAACGTATACGTGCTGCTTTTTTACCAATTGGTAAGTAGTAATATACACCAGCTGTTTAGATTTCTTTTTACTAATTATGAGTTACAACAGCTTGTAATAAGAGTTTACGAGAAAAGAAAACCATCTGATACAAATTTCTTTTTTTCTTCGTCAGAAATTCTCTATGTTGTCTGTTTGAATGTCATCATTATATTTAATACAGCTAGATTGTCAATAGAACGAGTAGGACTGGTTCTATTTGTTCACGGAAGAATACATATATTTATTTATCGATCAGTCAATTTGATCGATCGTTATTATTACACAATTCGATTGATCGTAATTCTGTCTTGTCTTACTAAATCTTTTGTAAACTTTATTAATTGCAAAATTTTAAATTTTTTGTTTTGTATAGGTTGTGAACATCAAGAACGTTTTCGTTCTCTTTATTCTACGATTGATAAATCTCAATACCATTTATTATCAACACCATCATCGTCATGTCATCCACCACTTGTATTATTTGTTATGAGAAAAACAGGTGCTGGTGGTACATGTTCTCTACTTGATTGTCATGTATTTGCTGTACGTCGTGAATCAGTTGCATTTGAATTATGCGATATGATACGTAAATTAGTTATTAAACGAACCGTGAGTCCTGCATTACCAACCTCGTCAGCAACACTACTACGTGTTCATGAAAATGATAAAGATACAACAGTTGAAAGACGAACAAAATATCTTGATCGAGATAGACCTATTTCAGCTATGGAACATCAACAAGCAGATATTCAAACAGGAGCAGACAGAAAGGTATGTTATACATCTATATTCTATTATATTTTTTTTTATTCTCTAGCAATATCGTTTAACATCAAATGGTCTTACTAATCCTTTATCATCATCGTCATATCAATTAACTAATAATCAAGATATATCACAAGTATTACATATAGATAAAGATCCTCATCGTATGTCATCTTCATGTTCAACACCAATACGTACTCTATCAACCAAACAATCTCAACAACAACAACGTCATTTTATCAAAGCATCATCTTCATCGTCGTCATTAATTATTGATGAATCTGATGAAGTCGTTAATGATCTTATGAATATTGTTGTTGCAGAAAAACTTAAAACAATCGATACAAATTCTTATCAAGCTCCTATAAAACGTCATGCTTCATTCGATCAACCATCATTATCAAATGGTCATAATGATCATACAATGAATAAAAAACGTTATCAATTTCATCATAATAATAAAAAACGTTCGTTAGTAATAAATTCGAATCCATTACCAACAATACTTTCAGCAAATAATACTCCTGTTATTTCACGAACGACAACTAATATCGAACAACAACAACAGCCAACACCATCCATACTCGAATGTCATTTGTTACGACCACAAATTGTACTTAATCGTTATGGTGATATTGGAAATTATGTTCCAAAATTATTACGTGAAAATGTTCCAGCAGCAATGCGTTCATCTGATAGTAATGAAAATATTTTTTTTCGTGCAACAAATGGACATATATTAAATGGTTTTCTTAATTTGGATTTTTCATCAAAACCAAATGGAAATCAAAATAATAATAATAATAATAATAATATTCATTTGCATTATCGTTCAACACCTTGTTTAAATGAAGATAATCATGATCGAAATCTTTTATCACAAGTTAAACAATTAAGAAAAAATCAAACGTAAGATTTCTTATTAAGATAATACCTCAAAAAAAAACTATTCTCTTTTTTTTGTTTTACTATAGAAAATCTTTTATAAATGAAAAAGATCAAACATTGCATGTTGAAACTATGGATGATGATCATCATATTCCATCATGTCAAATACCTCGTGTTATCTATCAATCTCAACAAATAAAACCAATTCCAGCTGCAATGGGTGGAATTAAAGTACTACCATTTACACCAACAACTTCTTATCCTTCTCAACGTTTATTAAAATCTTCTTGTTCATCATCATCAGTAAAACCGCGACGTGTTGCTTCATTTACAGTTGCTGATACAGAATTACCCGTTGATTAT